CCCCGAGCTGCTTTCCAACTCCTGAACATCTAAGGCTCCTCTTGGCTTTGGTTGGAAAGAAAGTGCTGACAGCTCAGGATGAGGCTGCTAGCCTTAACTAAGCATAGCCCAGCTAATATGGACTCTGGACCTAGCCCACCCGCGTTCAAATCCTCGCCCTGTCACTTGCTAGCTGTGTGTGACCACAGCCAGGTTTCACAACCTCACAAACGTCTCATGTCCCAATATATAAACTGGGAATGACAACAGTGCCCACCTTACCATTGTAGAGAGTAGTAAAGGAAAGAGGAAAGAAACATATGCAATCAGGTCAATTACAGAAGGTAAATTTTTTCATCCCATCTCTATGGTCCTGCCCACCTCTTGACATTTCTCCACAAGGACACGTAATATCTGTGACGATCACCAATACAACACACACCCATGAGTGGACTGAGACACGAAAGAGATCCAACACTATTACCGTGGAAGACTGTTCTGTGTAGGATACTTAGGAAAAGCATCTTACCGGCGTGACAGGACTTATAAGCCGTCTGTGCTCAGAACGACACCACTAAGGAGTGCAGCTGAGACAGGAGTGGGTGGGCGGCACACATTCCCTCCAGGGCCAGCCACAAAAAATCACAGAGGGATGCAAAAGTGAGGCTGTTAATCTATTCTAGGGGTAACCTTAAAGGGCCGACTTTTTCTTTTTTTAGTAAATCAAATGCAAACACCAGTATTTAACTCTTACAAGTAATAAAGTACTTGAATACACCTCACTCCTAAGTGCATGGGCAACAGGATGGAGAAACACTCCTTAGCCATCCTTGAGAACCACCCCAGCTAGGGCCAAGGTCCGGCAGGCCTCAACACAAGCATGGCAGGGGAGGGGGGGAAAGGGGGCAGTTTACAGGGAGAACTCCACCAAACCCGGCCATAGCAGCTTATCCCCCTTGCCTGTGCTGATTTTTCAGGCTGGACAAACAGCCTTGAAAGGAAGGCTCCTGTTCCCTTTCCAGAAGGTCATGTGTTCGGATAAGAGAGCTCTGGAAGTTTGAAGAACTAAAGCGATCCTTCCAACCCCTCTCATGCACACATACAGCTTTCCAGATGTGATAAAGTCAGGAAAACATGAATTTAATTGTAGCAGTGAAAAAGCAAACAAATAAATAAAACGGCCCACAGAAGCCAACGGAGCTCAAGTCCCCACGCTTCCAGCTGAGAGAACATAGTTAAAGTACTAAGGCTCCTGGGACCCACCTTGGCTACCTTCCAAGAACTATTAGCTTGCATTAACACACAGAAAGAGAAGGTCAGATAAATTAAAAGTTCAAAAGGTAATTCTGAAGAAGGACATCTTTATCCTCAGCCCCAGCACAGGGCATGGCTCATGGCACTGCAGGACAAACTCACTCAATGAACACACCTGCAGCAGGCAGAGGTCACATGGTGCTCCGATTCTTGATGTTAAAACAAGATGCCATATAGAATAGGGACAAGACCTAGATTAGAAACTTAAAGAAGGGGACGCCTGGGTGGCTCAGTTGGTTAAGCCACTGCCTTCGGCTCAGGTCATGATCCTGGAGTCCCGGGATCGAGTCCCGCATCGGACTCCCTGCTCAGCAGGGAGTCTGCTTCTCCCTCTGACCCTCCCCCTTCTCATGCTCTCTCTCTCTCTCTCTCATTCTCTCTCTCAAATAAATAAACAAATAAATAAATAAATACAAAAGAAACTTCAAGAAGGGTTGGGGAGCTCACTACTCAATTTCCAACACATTAAAAAGTACAACCGTCTTCTGGTTCTTAAGAGTGACTCTATACTTCAAAGCCACTTATGAACTTTAAAGGCAGACTAGTAAAACTTGCACTGACAAGCACTGAATTTATTTGTGACCCAAACCTCTCAACTGTTCCTGGATTCTGGAACACATACATCTTCCGTCAGCCAAAACTCTCAGTTAAGTTTTCACCTGATACAAGGACCCTTTCTCAAACTTTGACATACACAACAAACCCCCAGAGACAAAGCTCCTGACAGTATGTGCTTTCCTGGGATTTCCTATAATAATATCGACACAGGAAGCCCCTCACCACCTCCCCCCCACCAGCCCACCCTTCTAGAGCCAGGAGGCCAAGACACACAAGGAAGAGGGAATAAAATGAGTCCGCACTGCTTTTTACATCTCTTGGGAAGGAGCAGGGCAACCACCTGCCTGGATGACCACAGAGTGAGAAAGGACATGAACTTCCCAACGCAAGTCTCACGATCACTGCTCCATGCAGTTTTCTGGACATCTCGGCCGGGCACACTGGACACTGTCTGTCCCCTGCCAAAATCAATCTGAGGGTGACACTGCAGTGACTTAGATCCCAAGCCACAGGGAGCATTTGGAAAGGTGGTGTTAAATGACTGACATCTATTAGGGATCCTGAGGAGCTACACTCTTCGGGGGAGGAGCCAAAGCCCCCACCCCGCTAGAATCACAGGGGACTCTGGCATTTCCATGCTTTTGGAGGCCAGCTGGGCAGAAGGCTGCTTTAGTTATTTTTAAACAGAGAAAACTGAATGGGAAGGGAGAAAATTTGAATTCCTATGATCTCCTGAGGTCCCTTCCAGCTCCAAGATGCTACTGAAGAACATTGCATATGCACATACTTCTTTATAAAAACGTATATACACATACATATGTGTGAATATATATATGTACTGTATTCACACCTCAAACACAAAGCACTTGAAATGTGCGCTGCTGAGATCAAAAAGCCCATGAGCTGCTTTGGCAGCGGGGCTGGGGTGCACAGATGCCATTGGCAGATCTGGGCAGAGCCCCCAACCCTCATGCCATCCCCATCCGCCTAAACACCAACCCAACCAGCAGCTTTCTGGTGTAGATGCAAACCCCGCAAGGCTCCAAACCAGGACTGCAGACTCCTTTCTCCTACTGACTCCAGGCCTAAGTGTCTCAAACCCAGGCAAGTTGGAACAAAGGTGAAGACCAGAGGAAGAGCCTAAACCTTAAGTCCAGCCACCCAGTTCTGCCAGAGTCAAGTGTCAGGCAGAGGAGTTCCCTTCTCCTCTTGTCCAGCTCCTAAAAGGGGCAAAAATGGCACCTTCTTCCCCCTCCTCTATCACTCCGTTTTTCAGGACCTCTCCACTTCACTGACTACCCGGACAGCAAGCTGGTAACTGGAGAAAACTACAAAAGCCTCTAGAAAATAGAGCTTCGCTCTAATCCTAGCAGTGCCAAAGTTAAGGGTGCTTATCTCAGCCTTGAACAATAACAATAAAAAGAATTTGTAGGGAAGAAGGAAGTGGGGGGGGGGTGTGAAAATCATTTATCAAGACAGATCTGTGATGGGTTTGCCTGTCAGGAAAAACTGTTTTTTGATTTCTTGAATTAAAAACAAGGCAGGTCTGATCCTGCGTCGAGGCTCAAGATATGGGTGATAGAGTTGCTAACATGGTGGTGGTTTGTGGGGGGAGGTGCTCTCGGACTAAAATCCAACCAAGTCCCTCAGGTCCTGACAATGAACACAGGCGGGGACACCGGCTTCCCACTTGCCTCTCTTTACAATGAGATCCTGCCGCTACTACTCGAATCTGAGTGTTTCCAGGTGCACTGTTGCCATTCCACCCGAACCCCATACACACCTCAGCTTTCCCCTCCCCAACTTCACAGCTCCGTAAGTGCCCAACCTTCCCTAACTGGGCTGCCAGAGCCGGGTGTTCACAACAGTGTCCGCCCCGCGCCGGGCTTGGCAATCAGTGTCGGGAGCACCGGGCCCTAGACCTCGACCCCGGCATCTCTGAAAACGTAAGCATCGCCTGCTTCGAGCTGAGCACCCCGCTGGCGCTCCGAACGAGGCTGGACAATGCAAGCGCCACCTCTTCCCTCTTCCGCGCGGTAGCTACGAAACCACGGCTTTGTGTGTGACAGCAAGTGTGTGCGCGAACGTCCCCGGCTCACACACCCCCTTCCACCCAGTCTGCTCCCGGCGCGGGGTCCGTGCGCTCGGCGAGTGCACAGAGAGCGAGTCCACCAGGCCAGCGGCCGCACCGCCAGGCCTCTGGCCTCCCGGCCTCGGACCTGGCCTCGGGCAGCGGGGGATGACATCCACACCCCCGTTCCCAGCCGCGGAGGCGGTTGGCGCGAGCAGCGCTGGGATCCGAGCAAAAGCGAAGCAGGGGCCAGGGGCACGAAAGGGCGACAGGCGGGCGCCGCGCCCCCCCACCCGCGCGCTCGCTCGCTCGCCCCCAACTTAGCACGCCGTGAACCCGGAGGGGGGCCCACAGGGGCCGGGGCGGCTCGCTACTCGGCAGGAAGTTCCCAGGGCCGCACTGAGCATGCTCTCGGGGAGTGTGTGCGCGGGTGTGGGCTCCGCGCTCCCCGCAGCCTCTCCGGCCGGGCAGCCTCGCGGAGCGCCCTGACGGGGTCGCGGGCGGGCGACCGGCCCCAAGGGATTAGGGGGTTCCCCCGGGCTTCCCTGGTCCCCCAGCCCCGAGCGTCGGTCCGTCGCATCCCTCCTCTTCTGGGCCTCGGGCCAGCCTCCCTTCTTCCTCCCCACCGGCCGTTGGCTGAGCCCGCCCTGCGCGCCCCGGTCCCGGAGACCCCAGCCCGGCCCACACCCGCAGCGTGACCCCACCAGGCTCCTCCGCGGTCCGAGCGCCCATCTGCCATCCCCAGCCCGCGCCACCAAAGCCTCCTCTGGACAGTCCCTTAAAAAGCCCACAAGCCTCTTCCCCAAGGGCCCTGGGGGCCTGCTGTTTCCCTTGGGGAGGGCTGCCCCAGGCAGGTGGGCGCTTCAAGGCGCGTCCCCCGCTGCACTCCCGGGTCCCGCAGAGCGGCCGCAGCCAGGGCACCCACGCAGGCGGCAGGCGGAAGCCCCCGGCCGCGCCGCCCTCGGTGTAGGCTCGTCCCGCCGGCGCCCAGCTCCCGCGCCCTCCGCGGTCCCTCTGCGTGCATCTCCCCACGGGGATGGCGAGCCCGACGCGATCGCCCCGACCCAGTGGCTCTCACCTCCTTGTTGAACAGCAGCAGTAGCAGCAGGGAGCGCCCGCCAGCCGCCGTCCCCGCGGGGCCCACGACGAGGCGGGGTACGGGGTCGCGGCGCCCCGAGCCTGCGGCGCGGCTACCTGGGCTGGATCGCGCCCGGGGCCGCCGCGGCTGCCGCGGGAGCCGCAGGGCCGCCGCCGAGCGGGCCGCGGCAGGGACGGTCTGCAAACTCCCAGCCCTGGCGGGGCCGCGCGCGGCGCGTCCACACACAGCCCGGACGCGGTAGCTACGCTCCTCGGGGGCTCAGCCTAGCAGGGCGGGAGTCTGTCCGCAATTTCTCCCAACACCTCCCAGCCCAACGTCTCCAACTTCTCCCCGCTTCTGGCTCGAGGCACTTGAAGGCAGGGATTCTGGCCAGGGACGTTCGGCAAACTCCCCGCCCTCCCAGGCCGAGCGCTCAGCCAATTCGGAACGCCCCAGCTTCTCAGGGGCCGTCTGCAAACTCTCAACTCTGTCGGAGAGGACTTTTAGCAACCTTTCAGTCCCGCAGCCCAAAGCGAGAAAGGAGCGAGGGAGACAGGTTAATCTCGGCCATAAACAATATGCTAGCAAGGTCGGGGATAGTGTGCCAATACTCATATGACAAAGCATCCTCTAGAGTGGTGCAGTCCAGGGGCCTCGAAGCACCAGGGGCCCTCTACCAGTGAAGCCCAGTGAGGGACGACTGGGGGCTCACCCATTTACAGGTGCATACAACTTTAATAAGTGCCCTGAGTTTCAGTTTCCTTCGTAGAATGTGTTAGAGGTAGCCATTGAGTCTACCACTTGGTTTTTGTGACCTTGGACAAGTCACTTAACCATTTGAGTTCAGCCTCTTTATCTATGAGCATAATGCTGCCTCAGGAGCCTATTTTGAAGATGAAAGAAAGCATATGTAAAGTACTTAGGTACACTTGGCATACAGTAGGCGCTCGATAAATGAATTCCATTTCTTTCTTTTTCTTCCTCCCGCCCTTGGATTCTATGACCACGCTGGATGAGCTAGCTGAACACTGTACTATTGTAAATTCAAAACGAAATAAAACACATCGCATGCCCTGAAGGTGCCACAAACATTGACTGACAGGACATATTAAATCCAACCAAGCCCCGGGAGAGATAGTCATACATGTACATCAGAACATTATAGATCATTGTTAAGTAGGATCTAGAAGGGAGGGAGAATGGCCTGGTGGATCACCTAAGGGTCAACATGACAAGGTTCATAACCCCAGCACGTTTCAGGCTGTGTAACCTCAGCTGTCAGAAACTGTCCAGGTGATATTTGAGAGCCCCAAGGAAATCTGCATGGGCAGGACTATTCCTCTTAAAAAGACCTTTTGGTGAAATCCCAGGAACGTTGGGAGGCATGCATTTCCCTCAGTCCCTTGTTAGAAAAGGTCTCAGAGCTCTAAGGGCACGGGGAGGGAAATAGAAGAATAGTGACATCTGGTGGCCAAGACCTTCTGTGCTCTGAATACGGATGGTGCAGATTCTAATCCTAATAGATTTGCTTCAAAGCCAAGTTCCAGCGGGTGGTTAATAACTGTACCACCTGGTTACCTAGGGATTTCTGAAAGACATCAGTCATTCAAACACTGCAGACCCACTGCTATAGAGGAAATTACATATGGTTATTATTTCAGGATCTTGTTAAAAAATGTATGTGTATATAGAAAAAGTGTAAGGGTGTGATATTCATATGTACACACATTATGTGTATTTGTATGATACAAATATATTTAGATTATATATCTTCTATTTATTTGTATAAATAATATACTTACAATGCCTTTGAAGGACATTAATACTATCTCCATTGTTTTTCTTACAAAGTTAAGATTATAATTTACATTAATAATTACTAAAGGTCATTGCTTTTAGATGTAAAGATGCTTACTAAGATGGAGTTGTATATTTCATCATGTCCTCTCAAGAGAGAATTCCTTACAAACTTAGAGAGGAAGAAAATAGCACAGTGGGATTTTAATAGTGAAAGCCCCGGCTGATGATGGTCAAGGTCATGCTTACCTGATGAGTAGTGATTGATTTTTAGCATTTCCACCACTTGTAAACAAGGGATGTTAGGTTAAAAAAAGGAAGATATTTGGGACTACTTCATAACAATGCAACAGTGTCTATTGGTATTGCTAAGTCTGCTCTACTTCTTTCCATATATTTGTCCCGTGTAACATACTTTAGATAATTGCCCAATTATAAATGTAGAAAACACAACTCTGTCCATACAAGCAAGTCCATTGTTTCTCAGCATCTCTTACTAAGCTCTATGTGAATTTTACTGATCCTCGTAACAACTCATGGAGCAGATTTACTATACCCATTTTATAGAAGAAACAGCTAAGACTTGGAAAAGCTATGTAATATGCCCACCCACAGGCACTGTAGGTTAGGGCCAGAGTCAGGATTGAACCGAGTTTTCCCAACTCCAGAGCCCACAAATCTTTCCATTACACTATGTTGCCCATCCCCAGGAAACCAGGAAGAAATGAAGATCAAGACAGAAATCACTCTGAAGAGTACACTAAAAACTAAAAGGGATATTTAAGGCACTAAACACACACCACATTTCTTAACCTATTCAAGTTATATGAAAATTATAAGCAACAAAGTAACAACTGTGTGTGTAAACCTTACAAAGCTGGGACCATGTGATTCAGTCTTGAGGCAGATCTCTGTGAAATAAAAAAATGTTTTGTTTTGTTTTGTTTCGGTTTGTTTTCCTGCTCAGGACCTGAGCTATCTTTAACAGCTTGGGAATTATGCACTATGGAATCCCAGTAGAAGGTAAAGCCTCCAGTGGTAAAGGTGGTTGATAAAGTTTTAGGATGGTACTGCTCGCAGTGCTACCAGTGACAGATGCCACGATGACAGTAGAAGCTGACATGTCTAGGGGCGCCTGGGGGTCTCAGGCGGCTGAGTGTCTGCTGGTTGAGCATCTGTCTTCGGCTCAGGTCACGATCTCAGGGTCCTGGGATAGAGCCCAGATGGGCTCCCTGCTTGGCAAGGAGTCTGCTTCTCCCTCCTCTCCCCCTCCTCCTCCCCATGCATGTGCAAGAGCGCGCTCTCTCAAAGAAATAAAAAAATAGGGGCGCCTGGGGGGCTCAGTTGGTTAAACGGCTGCCTTTGGCTGGGGTCATGATCCCAGAGTCCTGGGATGGAACCCCACATGGAGCCCCACATCGCATTGGGCTCCCTGCTCAGCGGAGAGCCTGCTTCTCCCTCTCCCTCTGCCCCTACCCCCTGCTCGTTCTCTCTCTTTCTCTCTCAAACGAATAAATAAAATCTTTAAATAAATTAAAAATAAAATCTTTAGAACCTGGCATGTCTAGTATATGGTGACAGAAGTAGCAGAGGAAGGTCTTCACCTTCCCAGTTTTATGACGTGATTTGAAGATTTGTTTCTAAGTACACGTGCCTCTGAGCCTGACTCTAAGCTTTCCTTTAGATAAAGTCCTTTTCTCCTTAAATCAAGTAGAGTAACTTTCTGTTGCATAGTTAAGTAGCCTGATTGACACAGACATTAGAACCAGCAGACACAAACTCTCAGGAAAACAGAAGGATGGGTTATCTAGGTTGAGTAAGACTGAGGGTTGAAAATCCAACTGGATTTAAAGGGTTCTCATGCAGGCAGCTTATAGCATAGAGTAGCAAGGTGGTTTAATTCAATTATCACTGTGCTACCTAGAATGAAGTACCCATCGAAATCAATATTGGGGCAACCAAGTAGCGGCTGAGGAACATAAGGACTGTGGGAGTAAGGCGATTGTGTCTGTTGTTTTATGGAGTTGGACAGCTTAAAGAAAGAGAACAATGAGCTCTAACTCCTAATTTCTCAGTTCAAATTCCTAAATTCTCAGCTCAAAGGACATATATACCAGGGATTTTTCTGTGATTTTTAAGACAGTCAAACAAACAAAGAAAAAACAACAATAACAACAAAATTTCTTTTTTCTAACAGCTAGAGATCAAGATTGGTGAAAACTAAAACTGAAATTTGATCTTGTGGGTCACTGAATTATAAAACCACTTAAATGCACAGCCTAAGCACTCTTATTTGAAAGCAAGGACATTGATTAGAACAGAGTAGGACCCGGGGGACTAGATGGAGAGACATGAGAAAATCCAGATGACTGAATGTACCTATGGCCCTCAAGCTCTGTGCTGGCTTCCCTTGCCAAATGGAGGCCATGATGAGGTTCCTAGCACATCTCAAGAGACCAACTGAAAAGATAAACCCCAAAAAAGACTGAACCATCACACAGAGTTTTGACATTCGGCTGTCTTGGAAAAGCAAAAATCTGAGGAATACATGTGGTGAGAGATTCTGAGAATTCTAGAATAAAGAAAGAAGAACACAGCTTTGGATTGGGCTGAATCTACTGATATGGAAGCAGTTCTCAAAATTCCAGACTCTGTGTTCACATGAGCAGTTGGGGGTAGTATTAATCATCTGCTCGGCTGGTGCTAAAACCCAGACTCAGGGGGCCCAGCATAAATAATAATGCTAGCGGGCACTCATGTAGCTTTTACCAGGTGCCAAGCACTGTTGAAAATTCTATCATATATCAAGTTAATCCTAAGAATAAGCCTGAGATATGTATTATCATCCCCACTTATAAGAGCAGAAACTGAGGCATTTGGAGGTTCAACAATTTCCCACATGCAGCTTCTTTATTTATTTATTTATTTATTTATTTGACAGAGACACAGCGAGAGAGGGAACACAAGCAGGGGGAGAGGGAGAGGGAGAAGTAGGCTTCCCGCGGAGCAGGGAGCCCGATGCGGGGCTCGATGCGGGGCTCGATCCCAGGACCCTGGGACCATGACCCAAGCCAAAGGCAGACGCTCAACGACTGAGCCACCCAGGCGCCCCCACATGCAGCTTCTAAGTAGTAAAGCTGAGATTCAAATCAGTTAGCCTGGTTCTAGGGTCTGGGCTTTTCAGATCTATGCCGAAGTTCTTCTTACGAAGGGGAGATGCCAGAAATCCCTTGATATTATGTAGAGAAAGCAATCCGAGAACTTAGGGAAATAATATAAAAGATTTATCAGGTGTGACCTACTTATCCATTCTAATACTAAGTTCTCCAGGATGGCCCAGAAGACACATACTTGCCTCGCACTGAGCAGCCCAGTGGTGAAGGGAATGCCAGTATTTTTGAAGAGCACTACTGTGGCTTTTCTCTGGAGGCCAGACCTCACAACACAGAGTTGTAGCCATCACTCAGTTCCCAAATTTGCTGACCACCAACCAGGAGCCCCTTGAATGAAAGAGAGACTGGACATTTGCTGCAAACCCCAATGGACAGTCATCCAAAAGCCATTCCCAGTCTCATTTTCTTTGCTACATACC